ATTCATTGTGTTGATGTGCTGTGTGAACAACTCATCTTTGACCGAATGGCAGCACATCGACGTTTCAGTACTTATAAGTTTTATAGCAAAATTTGCGAGTCAGTGGAATTGTGAATAATAAATGTTGATACGAGCGATTCGAACGAGTTAATGTATGTATCGCAGTTTGATTTGAGGTAAGTGAAGATGTGATTCAAAAACTTCGTCATTCAAATGAACAAATGACGATCATCTTTGACGAGTTATCGATTTGGAATCGTTTACCGTTGAGATTTTGGCTGCGCAGTGCAGCTGCGTCAATCTTCACGCATGAACCACTTTACAGGTCTCGCTTCCGAACCTTTCAAAGAGTTCGCTTATCAAATCGTGTTTTCATTTTTGTTGAGGCAAATTCTTTTCATTTTCATTAGTTGAACAGATTTTCATTTATAAACGCATTTGCTTGATGTAATTTCTTTTGCCAAGAAGTATGTTGAGTAATGATGCAAGTAGCCAGAAATTTTTCAAGTATATAAATTCCTTAGAAACATTTTCAGGCTTCTTTTTTGACCAAAGTGAGTAAAACTGGAAAAAAATTTAAGTTCTAGCTATTTTATAGGCTTTGGGATAAGATCTGCAGTTGTACAGCCGAAGGAGTGATCTCAATCCTAAAAACAATTTTAGTGAGTTTTCTGTGCGAAATAGGACCGCGAATTGCTGCCAATCAAAAGGTTCCTTTCAAATACAGTCATTTTATTCGTGACTGAAATGACGTTGTGAATGCTGCAGACAGATTTTGATTGTGAATCGATTTAGATCTGATCATTTTCATGAAACCTCCGGTCAATCATTATCACTTACATTGAACCATTCATCCAGGAAAAGTATCTATGAGTTTTCTTGATCACTGTGGACAAGTGAAAGCAGCTAAATAATTTGTAACTATCTTTCAGACCAAAGAGAAGTGTCCATCGGAAGTTAGGTTAACGGTTGAAATGGAGAATATGATCATAACGCGATCAATCGAAACAGTCTCAGGATCGGGTCGATTAACAGCGAGGAAGTGTGATTAGCACACTCCTGAAGATATTGTTCCGAATATGTATAGATTCTTATTTGAGCAATGCAGATGCAAATAAATTCGCATTCCGAACCAGATTGAATTGAGATTTTTTGTATGCACAAAAATTTCATGCACTTCGCCCACATAATTTACTGTTAAAAGTGTCGTAAGATGTTTTAATCCATTTATACTATTCCATTTATTATTGACGGGTTATTAATGCACTGAATTAGCACGTTTTCTTCCGAATGTTTTATGCAACATTCAGTTCTGCTCTTTGAGAGCATCTATCCAAATGTTCATCGCTATCGCAATCTCAACTAATTTCATCGATTGCGTTGATTATCCCTCACAATCAGCCACTGCTGACCACCCGAAAGGAAATGTTTGCAAAGAACCAAATAGAATCGTGATGTAAATTCTGAATGAATTTTATCAATATTTGGTTCTATCACACAACTGAAAGTGTTCAAAAAGTGTGCGTTATGCTTTGAAATTGCTGATGAGGTGGTGCCAAAATAACTCATTGAAATGAATTTCATAAATGATAATGTTCATTATTCACATATTCTTTGATTACGTGTATGTGTTCATTCGTTCACTCATCCATCGAAATAACCAGTTTCATCTGCTGCCAGTTCAACCACAATAATAATAATAACATAGTAGAAGTGATTCCACTAGTAGTAATAATAATAGTGATGAATATTACACCGTAAATGATATTATGGTAATGATAATACCAAAGCAGACTGATAATATGGGCAATAAGATGAGAACAATGTGGATAATGATAACGGCAATGATATCAACAATGATAGAGATAAAGTATGAATTGAAGTCAAGTTCACGTGAGGAGCAGTAATCGTTATGATAATCAGAACTGTAATAATAATAATTAAGGAGGCAAAATTAACGATGATGACTGTTCACTGAAGTGTGTGATGATCGTGTCGCAGTTGTCTTTTTTTGCTGCTTTAAGCTACTTGTGAGTAAATCCTCCCTCGTATCTGTGATGGATTTATGCGTTTTCGTCTAGTCCATCGTCGTCCATTCGTGCCGTGCCATCTTCTCTGTGCTGCGTCACCAGCGAGTCACTCACCAAAAAAACAGTTTTGTCTACATTCACTTCACTTCATCGAAAAACACATTTTCTGGTAGTCTATTGTTATTCCGCTGGCTATCTTTATATTCTTGCTTCCTATCGATATTGCGAGTGTTGTGAATGAATGATTGATGCTAATATTCATCTATTGTACTGCATTTCGTTTATTTTGTTCAACTCAATCCTGCTACCATCAGTCGCGGTTGAATCAAAACTATAAGTTTTTCACCTTATTATGTTCGAATTCATTTGACCTATTGCTAATGCTAGAGACAGAAGGAGTTCTTCAGTTCTGAAAGTTTGCGCTTCGAAAAGTTTTGTTATGACGAAATGAGGATTTGAAACTTCTCGTTGTGATCTACTGAACCTAAAATTAAGTGAGAACTTTCATCATCAAATTCACTTCACGAAAAAAAATGAGTGAACTAATTGATCGATGCATTCCACTCTATGACCGCAATGAAGGTTTTACTACGGGACTGTTTCGTGATGCTGCGGCAAGTGACTGGTCGCTTGTTGAATTTGTTGATGAGACACCGTCGAGAGAGTTTCGATTTTGCATCGAACGATCGGAAAATACAAGCGCAAATCATGGTTCTTAATGTGTTCGTAACAGAATTTTGTTGATTCAATGACTCGGCTCACTCGTCTACCAACATTCAAAATTAAAGTGTATGGTTTATTTTTGTCGTATTATGGGCATGATTTTTGATGCATCTCAACCTGTGTGCGTTTGCTTCTGAAATGTTATTGTCTGTGATTTAGTAACCCGAATTTTTGACTGAGCTTTTTGTTTGTGCGATATTTCATATTGTTTACTGTTTCGTGTCATAGATTTGGATATAAGGACGGTGTACAGACAGATAGAGAGTTGCTCTTTAGAAATCATCAGCTCGTAAGATTATCCTAATTTGTGGATGGACAAGTTAAAGTATACTTCTGACTTCTTTTTGAGAGCATTTCTTTGGGAGAAAACTTCTCACGGTGTCCTCAAGCGTTCAGCTAACGATCACTTTTTACTTATGAAAATTTTTTTGAATATCCAAGATTTTTCTTCCGATGAACGTCAAAAGTTCTTCTTATGTGAACATCGGATATTTAAGCGCTATATTGAACGAATCCAAATTGATAGTGCACATTTCAAAGTGATCAGTTTGCATCGAGTCAAAACTGAGATTTAACTCGACCCATTTATATGTGTGGTAGAGACGAAGAGCAGTTGATATCTGCAACAAAGTTGACATTTCCATGGCTAACATTCAAAAAAAGAATATGGAAAAAATAACTTTTCTCAGCATTGTGAAAGCAATCAGCTAATGTGTATTTGTTTGAACAGCATTCAACAGAGTTTCTCAGAATCAACGCTTGACTGTCATTGATTCATCTGTTCTTGTCGTCACCATTTCACGATTATCATCTGCCTCAGCATTGATCTCATTTCAGTGCATTCTTTATTGAAATCCGAATGCAATCGTGAAATTATACAAACGCATACACATCCATCCCTTTTGTGATCATCTCACTCCATCAATCGAATCAAACGGATGGATCGATATTTGCATTCGTTCAACCAACCGTTCGGATCTTTGTAATCATTGGCGCTTAGATATTTTATAAGCAATAAATGCACACACGTCTCTATATCTTATGATTGTTCAGTAGCATTCATTGGTTGTTTCTCTTTTTCGTGCTATTCGAATTGTTGAAAATAAACACACTGATCATTTCAGTGCATAACATCATCATTCACTGATGAATTATTGCCATTATTATTGCTGCTCTAATATTACTGCTGCTGCTGTTGATATTCTCTAAATCCGTCCGTAAAATGACCAGTTTCCAAAGTTGTTTTTGATGCAATAAAGTGCCCACAAAATTTCCACGGTATGATTTTGCGTTATCATTCATTCCTTTGTTGTGAACCACGCAACGTTCACATCATCGCTGTTATGGCCACAGCACTGTCGTAGGTAATTAGGACTTTTCGTACGGTAACAGCGAGAAAAGTTTTGATTTCGAAAATTTCTTATGATTCTCCAATACACTGGAATGCTTTTGTCTGTTTGAACTTTTGAAACATTAGACTAATTTTCTTTTGTTTCGCATACCTCACAGTAGAAAGAATTTTTGAGATTTGCTCGCTGAAACGATTGCGGCAAAAAACAGTGGAACGCATCATCGTAATCTAGACATTTACAGAGTGATTCTGTTAAGGCGATGATGAATAAATGACTAAACAAATTTAGCGAATTCGTTCAATCAGTGAAGCAAGCAAGCAAGCAAGCGAATAATAAGTCAAATGTGCTGAAAGGTTTTTGGAGTTTGAAGAGAATAACACCAACTTAGGGATTATTCATGTTGTTG